CCTTTCAGGTTTTACTTAACTCTCATCTCCTCCATCTGGGAGCCCCCAAGCAGCACTTTTCCTCTGAACCAAGTCAAGTCCCCGAGTTCTATTTCTCCTGACATTTTCCAGGTTGATGGGTAATATTCTGGCTGATTCCTCCACTAGACTGTCGACTCCTGGTGAGCCCAGCAGCAGAGGGGAGGCATTTCCAAAGGACCAAACGACTTTGGACTGGTCTCAGAATTAAGCCTCATGCTCATGGGCTTTGGGTCAGTGTTAAGAATCTGATGAAATCCAGACTCCCAGAGATTTGCTCTTGGCTGAAAGAGGCTCAGACATGTGAATTCTTCCATCGGGGCAGGGCAGACTGGAATTGAATGCCCATTTTTGGAGGCAGTTCCAAAGTTAATATACAATTCACTTGTTTCTCATGCACTTCTGACAAAGGGGAAGAAGAAACAACCCTATAATTTCAGTTAAGTGTCACTGGACAAACAGACATAACATCTATAGGACTGAGCTAATAATGTACGGATAGGTAAAGAGACTTACGGATTTTCGCATGTGCTCTGAAGTTGTTGCAACTTATTACTTTCATGACAAAGTTCTAATGGATTTGAAAGACGGCAGAAAAATAGCAGTAAGATGTTATATTAAGAGCCTCATGGGATCACAGAATATAAGAGCTACGAGTGATCTTTCAGACTGGTTCACAATCATAAGTCCGTGGTAACATTTTTACTGGTCTACAGAAAACAGATATATTTGGACAATCTATCACATTTCTTTAAAAAGCAAGATGAATTCAATTGAAGGGGGCGTTCTTTATTCTGAGATTAAAATTTCCCCACTTTCGTGGTGTTAAAATATTTTCTCTTATGAGAAGGTGGTGGTTATAAATGGCAGCTTGGGTTTTAAAAAAATAAATGTAGGGGCGCCTGGGTGGCTCAGTGGTTAAGCTGCTGCCTTCGGCTTGGGTCATGATCTCAGGGTCCTGGGATCGAGCCCCGCATCGTGCTCTCTGCTCAGCGGGGAGCCTGCTTCCTCCCCTCTCTCTCTGCCTGCTTGTGATCTCTGTCAAATAAATAAATAAAATCTTAAAAAAAAATAAATATAGTCTATTTCTTCCTTTTTTTTTTTCACTAGGCTCCACACCCAACATGGAATTTGAACTCATGATCTCAAGATTGAGAGTCACATGCTCTACTGACTGAACCAGCCAGACACCACTCATCTATTTATTTCTGTTCCTCATTTTTACCCAGGTTAGTTTAAATTATTTTTTTAATTGAAATATAGTATACATACTTCCCATTAGTTTTAACAGCCCTATATTTATGATGGCTTTCTAACTTGGCAAAATGAAAAAAAGTTGGGCAACCCTATGTAAGTCTCTCAAATTATTTTTTAAAGAAAATTTACTAATCCATAAAATCAGATTGAGTTCAACATCCCTCCCGTTTGCAGAAAAGGAAATGAGGATGTAGGGAAGTTAAATGTCAAAGCGTTACACATACACTGAAGGCTGCCTAGCAAGTTAACAGCAGATCCCAGACCAAAACCAGAGCTCTTGCCACCCAGGGTCCAGAGCCCTTACAGCCCTACTCAGCTTCACAGGTGTTCAAAATTAGACCAAAGTACAGAATTTGATCCTAAAACCATTCACAGTGCACACCTGTGCTAAATGAGTTTTCAACATTCCATTGGATTACATGTTAAGCTCTACCGTGCTTTGCCACAATTTTCTCTCACCATTGTGACAAATAATCCTTACATGGCATGAATTATGCATTTTTGTGATTTTTCATCTGATCAAAATGCAACAGGACAGCATAAGATTTTATAAGTATACACAAATAAATATACACTAATTCCATCACCTCCACCTAGAAGCTACTGAATTCATTTTCTCTCTTATCAGTCGCAAAACAGGAGCCACTACCATTTCCCCCTTGGAGTTCGCAAGACAGAGTTCCAATGCAATCCTGCAGCATCTAGGACAGGATGGGCAAGCTTACTCATCCTCACGTTGAGTCACATAAATATCAGAAGATGACACCTGTTACCAAGATAAATGTAAAAGCCTTTAAACCCAGCCTTGGAGGAGGAAAACTGCGATGCAAAAATTCTTAATCCGTTTATCTTGATTTCTCATTATTATTCTAATTAGCTCTGTAGTCCCTACAGTTATGGGTTTCTACCTCCTGCTGTTCCTGGAAGTTGCTGCTTCGTATGCTCACATTCTTACCATTTTCCTCATAAAAATTTTGAATTAGTGGCCATAAACGCAACCCCATTATTTTAAAAAGGCCAAAATTAAAAAGCCCTTACCTATAAAGTAAGGCAGGTGTCCAGGAAAATTAAAACAATATCCTACTTGGAGATCTAGGCTTTTTTTTAAAAGGTTTTATTTCTTTATTTGACAGACTGAGATCACAAGTGGGCAGAGAGGCAGGCAGAAAGAGAGAGCGGGCGGGGAGCAGGCTCCCTGCGGAGCAGAGCCCCATGAGGGCCTTGATCATAGGACCCTGAGATCTTGACCTGAGCCAAAGGCAGAGGCTTAACCCACTAAGCCACCCAGGCACCCCTAAAAAAATGTTTTTAGTTTGAAACAATTTTAGACTTCAGAGAGGTTATAAAAATAGTACATCTCTGGGGGTGCCTGTCTGGCTCAGTCAGTAGAGTGTGCAACTCTTGACCTCAGGGTTGTGAGTCTGAGCCCCATGGTGAGGATAGAGATTTCTTAAAAATAAAATCTTAAAAAAGGTGGGGAGGGCGCCTGGGTGGCTCAGTCGGTTAAGCCTCTGCCTTCAGCTCAGGTCATAATCTCAGGGTCCTGGGATAGAGCCCCATGTCGGGCTCTCTGCTCAGTGGGGAGCTTGCTTACCCCTCTCTCTCTCTCTGCCTGCCTCTCTGCCTACTTGTGATCTCTGTCAAATGAATAAATAAAACCTTAAAAAAAAAAGCACATCTCTGTATACCTGTCCTTTACCCAATGTTAATATCATAGATAACCATGGTAAAATGATCACAACAAAGAAATTAACATTGGTTCAATACTATTAACTACATGCGTTAGTAGAATTTCACCAGCGTTCCCACTAACGCCCCCTTTCTGGCTCAGGATCCAGTCCAGGATCTCCCACTGCAATTAATTGTCCTTATCTCAGTCTCTTCTGTGACCATTCTTGAGTCTTGCTTTGTCTTTAATGACCTTGACACTCCTGAAGAGTACTGGTTAATTATTTTGTAGACTGTCCCTCAGTTGGGTTCACACGATGCCTTCTCCTGAATGGAATGAGGTTAGGCATTTCTGACAGAATATGACACAGATGATGTGCTTTTCTAGTACAACATATAAGGAGGATACAAGACATCTTATTAGTGGTGATGTAAAACTTGATTATTTCATTCTGATGGTGGCCTTGGCTTCAAAGTGCTCATTCTGTCATTCTAAGCTCTTCATCAACAGAGGAGACAAGTAAATTAGTAGCATCCTTCCAGGGAGTGGGAACAAGGGGAAAGGGCTTCCTGACCTTCCACAAGTAGCTACCAGAAGACGGGCTGATGGAATGCTGGAGCTCGGAATGGATATCTAGAGAGTGGACCACAGGATATTAGTGCCCTGACAAAAGGGCTCTGACATAACACCTCTAGGTTTCTGTCGGACACAGGCAGGAGATCTTGGCCAGCCAAGGGGCAGCGGGCGGCAGCCCTTCTTCCCAGGGGAAGAAGAACTAATGCAAAAATGTCTGCGTGGTTCTGGATTTCTGCTCTTCTTTCCCTTCATCCTCTACTTTTGTTTACTTTGGTTTTCTTTGACTAAGCCTTCTACACTTAACCTCAGCCCTTATTTTAATGAAATCCTAATAAGAATATTTAACTACTGCTTTGGGTTAATCACCTCAAGTGAATTTCTACAAGCTGCCACAAGTAACGGCACCCCCACCCACCATCTTGTGGTCATCCATCCCTGGAGGCAGATGGCAGCGCACTTGTGATCTAATACAAATCTACACCACTTAATCCTGGAGACAAGGTAGGAGCCATGTTTGTATGTTCCTTCCTCCCCTCCTCCCTCCCTCCCTCCCTCTCTCCGTCTCTCTCTCTCTACTTCCTTCCTATCTTTCTTTCTTTCTAATTGAGATATAATCCACATACCACAAAATTCACCTTTTTAAAATGCACAGTTCAGTAGTGTTTAGTGTATTTACAGGTGTTCAATGTATTTACAGGATATTACCATCACCACTATCTAATTCCAGAATCTTTTCATCACCCCCCCCCCAAAATCTTGTACCGATTGTCAATCTCCATTCGCCTTTGTCCTCAGCCCCTGGCAACCTCCTAATCTACTTTCTATCTCTATGGGTCTATAGATTTGCTTATTTGAACTAAGATAGTTTTGATCACAAATAATAATAACCAAGATGATCTCAATCCAGTTAAGCTAGCAGGTGTACCATACACACACACACCTGTAAGGTTTGAGTTTGGTGACACCTCACCTTTCCTTTTGATACTCTGGACTCCCCATGCTACCCCATCCCCCCAACTCTGTCTCAGAGGTGACAGACGCTTTGATCTTGCCCAGGGTACGACCTTTCCTTCTCCATAAAAAACCACGTTGTGTTCTGTCGGAGTTCTGCACTGGTGAGGTAATGCTCAGGTAAATTAAGCTCTGCTGAGGTGCTAAGAAGTAGCTGATTTACATTTTAACAGAAACTCTTGCCATCTAAGGCTCAGCTACGATGGCCGTCTGACCCCGTTTGCTTAGAACTGCCCTGTTGCCCCAGCTTAATTATTAACAGCATCCCTTTTCCCTCTCAAAACTGTCCTGGCTTGGGTGTTTAATTATATGGTCACTCAACCTTAACCAACATAAACGATTCATCATGGTAATTATAGGCAATCTAGCAGGCCAACAGAGAAAATAAATTGAGGGAAATGAGGTTTCAGTTCTCTCCCAATCACAGGGCAGCTCTGTATTCCCATAAAAAAAGCTGGAGTTCACCAACCTGTAGGAATCAGGGTTTCATCCACGGGCAAAAAGGCATCAGCTTCTATAGTGATTTCATGGTCATATATGTTTGGAGAACCCTGGGAAGGAGGTAGAGAAAGAAGAGATCTAATGTTTAGTCTTCTTTTGTCTTTTTGCTCTTTTTTAAAAAGATTTATTTATTTATTTGAGAGAGAAAGAGCATATGAGCCAGGGGGAAGGAGGAGTGAGGAGGGGGGAAGGGCAGAGGAAGAGGGAGAGAGAAGCCCAAGCAGGTTCCACACTCAGTGCTCAGTGAGGCACCCCACGCAGGGCTTGATCCCACGACCCTGAGATCACGACCTGAGCGGAAATCCAGAGTCGGTCACTTAACCGCCTGAGCCACCCAAGTGCCCCAGGTATTTTTGCTTTTTAACTTCCTTGCAGAAATGTTTTCAGGCACTGACAAATACTTTAGAATTCCCATTTGACTTATGGCAATGATTACTACGTTCCTTTAAGTGTAGGTAGATAGGTCCTCAACATAGCAACTGATGCATTTGGAAGACGTTTTCAGGAGTGACCCCAGCACGCATCTTCTTTCCTACGTGGAATTACGAGTGTGCAGAGTCAGAGAGACATCGGTGGTTTGAAAGACTTTTCAACTTTGACTTATTAGCAGAGGGGTTGCTCCCACTCTCCCCACATGCAAACAGAAGAACCAGAGTTGTTGACCTGGAACACCCAAGTGCTGGATGGCCAACGCTTCGCCTCCAGGCTTGGAGGTGGGGTATTTGTCCCCCTTCTCTGGCCCAGCTCCCACCCAGAGGACCTACTCTGTACCACATGACAGAAGCCTGGGAGTCAGAACTGGGCTTCCTGCTTTTGAGGGCTCGCCCATCTCTCCCATTAAAGATGCAGCCTGGGCGCCTGGGTGGCTCAGACCGTTAAGCGTCTGCCTTCGAGTCAGGGCATGAACTCAGGGTCCTGGGACTGAGTCCTGCATCGGGCTCCCTGCTCAGCGGGGAGCCTGCTTCTCCCTCTCCCTCTGCCTCCCCCTGCTTGTGCTCTCTCTCTGTCAAATAAATAAATAAAATCTTAAAAAATAAATAAATAAAAAATAAAGATGCAGCCTGCCTTCCCCGGGGAGTCAAAGACGGGTCAGTAGGGGCACCTGGGTGGCTCAGTGGGTTAAAGCCTCTGGCTTTGGCTCAGGTCATGACCCCAGGGTCCTGGGATTGAGTCCCGAATTGGGCTCTCTGCTCAGTGGGGAGCCTGCTCCCCCCCC